ATTATCATCTCACACTTCTCATAGTAGAAAACATAACATGTGTTCATTTCTCCGTAATACCCGACAAGAGACAAGAGCTGTGTTATTTCACAACACTTAGCCTACTAACGTCAGCGCTTGAAAACCTCTCCGTGTTTGTGAATGTGGACGACAATGTTCACGTCTGTGACCGCTTCGTGGGAACGAGGGGGAGACCTGCTTTGCTGCTCCCGGGGTGAGTCTGGGTGGATCAGCAGGAAGGGATGGGCAGGGGCTCCAGGAAGGTGTGGTGCCTCTGAATGCGGCTCAGAAGCTGCTGTGCCACAGGTTTGAACTCTGTTTCCCAGTGGAGTTTGTGATAGTTTTTTAGGTCTTGGTCAAAACTGCCATCCAGCGCTAATTCTTCATCTGTATCGGAAAAATTTAAATTGCAGCAATTATTTGGAAACGCAAGAGACTTTAAGTTTTGAAGACAGGAGGGAAACTCATCCTGGGTCACTCTAAGCACCAAGACCCAAGACAAGACCTGTGGGTTAAAAGGCGCTTTCGGTTGTGTTTTGTTTGTCAGGAGAACTGCTTTACTTTCCTTTGGGCTTTACAATTATTTTTCAATGAATATATTTTAACCTCTTGATTCAAAAGGGTAATAACTTTTTTAAAAATTCTAGATTGAATTGAGCTCTTTTTTCAGTGAATCCTTTAGGTTTTTGTATGTGAGTTTACAACCAAAAGTCAGATTACAATTCCTCACTAGAAGCAAAGCATTAGTAGGCTACTTTCTTACATGTACATTAGAAATGCTTATTATATCAGGGCCTGCACTTTGGCAGAGCAGGTTAAGCTGCCATCTGCAGCGTCAGCATCCCATATGGGTGCCAGTTTGAGTCCCGGCTGCTCTACTCCCCATCCAGCTCCCTGCTAATGTGCCTGGGAAAGTGGTGGAGGATGGCCCAATGCCTTGGGCCCCTGTACCATGTGAGAGACCCGTAAGAAGCTCCTGGCTTTGGTCTGGCCCAGGCCCGGCCCCTTCAGATGGAATGAATCAGCAGCGGGTGGGCGATCTCTGTCTCTCCTCTCTAACTCTGCCTTTCAAATAAATAAATACATCTTTAAAAAATAAATAAAAAGTTATTACTTCCATGGCTGGCAGATATAAAAGGAGACAAGAAATCTTCAGGGAAAGTAGCTCAGCTGAATCTGACACTTTCAAACTCATAAAAAAAAATCACCATTCTGCTGGCTTCACAGCATCAGGATAGATTTCTTTAAAAAGACAACTGTCCCATCCCACTTGCTCCAACACTGGGGAGAAGCCCAAGGAGTGGAAGAATCCCCGAAGACTTCCTGGCTTCCTTTGTATCTGTCAACCATGAGGCAGTAAGCATTTCTAATGCATGTGTGAAAAAGTAGCTCACTCCTGCACTGACTCTTAGGAGAAATCATAATCTTTTAGGTTTTTATATGTGAGTTTGCATACAAAGCATTCAATGAAATGAAAGCTCAATTCAATCCAGAATTAAAAAAAAAAAGTTATTGCCCTTTTGAATTAAGAGGATAAGAAAGATCCCGTGGATTAAGCAGAAAAGCAAATTCTAAAAGTAAAATGCAAAACTGTAACTGATTCTGATCCAGGGCACCTGGAATTCCATGAACACCTTAAGAATGGCCAACCCACGTAGCAAGAGAAATGGCCAAGAGGGTTCTGGGCCTAGGGCCGCCGCAGTTTCACCTGTGGATATCGGGCCGCACGCCCCGTGGGACAGCCTTCGGGAAGGTGCACTGGCCTCCGGGCCAGCAGGTTGGCCCTGCCAAGTCCTAGGTGTGTGGCCTGAGGCAGGCTTCTCAAAACCCGTCAGGTCCTAAAGGGACCACCAATGTTGCACCCTTCCTAATGTGCACACATTTCCCCCCCAGGCCAAGTGAAACCCTGCTATAAAATGCCTCATTACACTGTTGATAGCAGACGCCCTCGCTGGGGAGTGGAGGACTCTCTTCTCCGTGGGTACTTGGGCAGCGTGTGTCTCCACGTCAGCACCCAGAATAAGATAAGGGATTCTGAATCCAGTCAGTCCCCTCCCTTCCTCACAACCGAGGGGACAGCCATGCAGCTCTGAGATAAGTAAGCTCCAGGCAGCCACAGACTGCTTCAGCTAGGCGCTCCACAAGCCTCCGCCTTACTCCCCACCCCTGAGAGGCCCCGGGCCCAGGCGGGAGCAGAACGCAGACAGCAGGCTGGACGCCTCCATAGCCCTTCCTCTGTGGCTACTTCGGACCAGAAGGGCCCCTGGACTGGGAGATTTCAGATTTCAAGACTGTATTTCCGTTCATTCTTTTCTGGACTTTCTGAGCCGGGAGCTTGCTGAAATCTGAGTTCTCTTGTTTCTTGCCCTCCTTTCCCAAGCTGCTGAGGGCTACGCAGTGCGGCCCAGGCAGTCATGACCCCTTCTCTGACCATGGCCTTGACTGATTTGATGAGTTTAGCAAAATCTGTTGGATTGTTTTTAAATCTAACATTCGACTACGTTATTTTCCTTGGGGCCCAGTCTAGAATAAGCAAATGTACCCTGGGGCTGTATTAATTCTAAATTGGGCTGGACAAAAATGGCCAAGTGACTCCAGGCAAGAGAAATGTAGTTTAAAGTTTCAAAGAACATACAGAAAATACATTTTTTAAAAAAAGTTCCATATCACACTGCACACTGAATTTTACAAGTTGGACTGCAAAGAGCGGCAGGGGTTAATTCCTTGACAATTTAGGTCTATGGTTTTCAAACTTTGCGACAGTAAGAAGAAAAACATTTTGTATCATGACTCGGAATATACGTATTTAGATATTCATACACCAACAATGAATACTTCACAATAGAATACTTACCCTTCCCACACATAATACACTCATATTTGCCTTCTCTGCTACTTTCTTTTTAAAGATGCTGATCACAACCAACTACAAGGATCTCCTAACCCAGAGGCCGCAAAACCCTGGGTTTGATGACAAAGGTGCTTTAGCTTTCTTTGTCCACAGCAGACTTCCCAGTATGAAAATTTGGGGCAAGCTTAGACACGAGTAAAAGACTCAAACCAACACATGCATCGCTGAGCATTGCAACACAGTCAGCCTCCCAGTTCCAGGGTTCACAAGCTTCCTCACTCACTGCCATGGTATTTCCTCGCTCGCCGCCCAGCACCACCAGCTGTGAGCTGTGTGAGGAGCTCCCAGCGCCCTGCTTGCTCTAAGGGGCACAGCTCACGTGTTCCGGAAGTGCCTGAATGTGCCCTGGCTTAGGTGCAATGAGGGATGGGATCCTCCAGTGGGAACACGGGACCCGATGCAGGTACCCTGGCCACGCCCCACGCACCTTACTACCACACATGGGTCCCTGGTGCTCTTTACATTCAAAACAAGAACAACTTGCACACACCCATCCCCAGTCGCCAACACCCACAAGGGGGTCATAGCAGGTGCCAGGGCCCACCAGTCGGAACGTGCAGACCAGTGCTGACTGCAGCACGGCTGTGTGTTCAAGACGACGTCCTGTTAAAGCCACTTCCCAAAAAGGCCGGCAGCATCCCCACCGGGTGCAGGGCCATTTTTTTCTGCTTTTTGACCCCCACCCCATCAGCAAGAAAGAGTGGTCATCCGAGTCAGGCTGAATCAATAGCTCCCCTTGAGCCCACACTTGACTGCGAGCCCCTGTGACGTCACAGCTCAGCCTGTAAAGGAGCTGCCCCACCCACAGTCCCCTTTGCTTGCTGCTGCCCAGCCATCACACAGCCCCGACCCCATCAGAAGGACAACACTGGCGCGCAGACCCCCGAGCCCACGGAGCCTGGGCCTCGGGGTGATGAGGAGCAGCTCTTGACCATGGGATGTGGTCTGTGATGCCAGGTCCTGCACATTGGGCCCCTGATAGCCCCGTGCTGGTTCCTGTTGGAAGTGTTCTGTGTGATACAACAGCAGAGAAACACAGGCCTGGTGGTGGTGGGGGGAGGTGGTTTCTGATTTGGGGCTTTTCTACAGAGTGAACCTGGGCAAGTCACTCAACCCTCCTAGAACCACAGTCCCCTGTCACCTAGCCAATGACCCTGCAGAGAGGGCTAGGCTCTGGGCTCCCATCTGCTTACTTCCCAGGCCAGCAACCCTGTAGGTGAGCACTCTTTACCTCCGCGTAGGAGATGACAGCATACAGATGTGTGGAGGTCAAGCCCAAGGGCTGAAAACCTGCCAAGGACACTGTGAGGGCTGAGCAGCAGCCTGCTCGGTCTCCCCACTCTGCTCCCAGGATGCTTGTCTGAGGCACACGCTCCCTGGGGCAGGACAGGGACCAAGGTGCCCCTGTCTTAGCGATCCTCTGGTGCCGGAGTCTCCTGAGCTTTTCTGAGCCCCGCCCCCCCCCCCCCCGCGCCTCGCTGACCCACTGCTGGGGTGGCAGTGACAGCACGTTCCGCCACTGTGGGAAAAGGGTTCTGGAAAACAGCTCCTTGATGGACCCAAATCACTGATTCTATACTTAAGCCAGAGTGAAAAAAAATTGTCCTAAAAATGTTCTTCTCACGGAAGAGACACTTTCTTTCCTCTGTATTGGTGACCCCCTCCCCTTCCAGGCCAGCTCTGCAGACCCTCCCCCGCCACTTAGGAAAATCTATACATTCCTTTGAAAGTGCGACTTCATTCCAAGTAGCTCTCGGCCGTATTTTCTCAATTACAACATTTCTCTATATACTTTAAGTAACAGAAATATTTACGCTGAGAACTTGCATTTACAGTCTATAGAAAATGTAAAAAAACAAAACAACACAAAACATAAAAACACTACAGTACCCAGTGAGTTAACAAGTCCTGTTCCCATAAGACCCAGCCTCTTCCAGAAAGTTCCAAACTGCAGTCCTCTCTCACATACTCTGTTGCTCACAGAAACCCAGCCACCCTCACACATCCCAATCTTGGTTCACTCAGGTCACAGAAAACAGCTTTCTTACTCTTACTCTGAGAAAACTCACAGGCTAATAGGAAGTCTTACCTAAAAACGAGGACAACAGGTCTAAGAGTGTCTTGGTGTCTTCATCTCCAAAACACAGTGAAGCATTTGTGATATTTTCACTGAAGTTCCATAAAGTTTTGCAAACCAAGCAGGCCAGCTGCCAATCAGTAGGACCAAACTCTCTTAAACAATCCACTAATCTGAGTTTAAAAAAAAGAAAAAGTCAAATTGAAAAGTCATCAGGTTATGGGGCTGGTGTCATGGAGTAAAGCGAGTTAAGACGCTGCCTGCTGCATCCCATATAGGCGCCAGTTCACATCCTGGCTGCTCCACTTCCGATCCAGCTCTCTGCTGATAGCCTGGGAAAGCAGCAGAAGATGGCCCAAGTGGTTGGGCCCCTGCACCCATGTGGGAGACCTGGAGGAAGCTCCTGGCTTCAGGCTTAGGCCTGGCCCAGCTCTGGTCTTTGCAGCCATTTGAGGAGTGAACCAACTGATGAACTCTCTGTCTCTCCCTCCCTCTCTGTAACTCTTACTTTGAAATAAGTAAGTAAATCTTAAAAAAAAAAAAAAAAAGTTATAAGGTTAGAATGTGTCTTAATGTTTATGTTTCTCGCAGGATGCTCATTGGCGTTCTGTGGCATCTCAGATAAAGGTGACTCAAGGATCATTTAAAGTAACTTTGTATATACAGATTTAAGGGGCCAAAACCAACTTCTGAATTCTTCAACGTGTCGGATGGAACCAGCTCGGGGCTTCCAGATGTTACATGACCTCTGCCCCAGAGGAAAGACCAGAGGGGCCGAGCCCCCTGGAAAGCGGTGTGCTGGGTCCCCACGCCCTGATACTTACTTTTTAATGCCGCCGCCCTCTTTCAGGAGGCCACGCTTGTCTTTATCCACGGTGAGATTGAGGAGAACGCCGCAGGCCGAAAAGCAGACGTCCTGATGCTTCACTTCCAGCAGAGCAATCATGAACTTGTGTACTGCGAGGACAGAGAACACGCATGCGCTGACGGCGGCTCCGGACTGCCAGGTGCATCTCCTTCTACAAATGGCCTAGAGGAAGCCGGGAGTGGCTAGCGACCCTGGGGCCCCTACTGGAGGACTTGCCCCTTCTGCCTCAGGCTTTATCCGTGCCAGCAGTGGGTTCCGTGGCACCCACTACCCTGGGAGTCTGGCCCCGTGCCTGCCCCTGACCCAGGCGGCTGCTCTCTTTCCAGGGCAGTGATGGAGCCCCTGCAGTCGGGCCGTGGCGGGGCGTGGCGGGGCGGGTGGGGGAGGAGGAACACAGCTGCCACTCATTCGGCTCTAGCGTCTGGTCCTCCGCGACCTTAGAAACCTCCAGCAAGAGCCCTTCCAACACGCAGCCTGGGGAGGGGGAGGAGGCTCCAAGACCACGAGGACGACAGGGCCTCCCGGACGGGGCCCCTCGCTCCCTGGAGATGGTACTGGAGATGCGTGGGCTTGGCTCCTTTCCTACCCCGAGGGCGGAGGCTGAGGAGATGCTTGGAGGGGAGAGGATAAAGCGTGTGCTCCGCCCCTTCCTGCTCTGAGCACTTGTCCCAGCCCGGGCCAGGCAGTGAGCATGGCAAAGGCTCCAACCCCCTGATGCCCAGTGGCCACCCGCAGCCCAGATCAGAGGGCTGCTGCCAGGCCCGCATCTGACCCAGCTTCTGACCCAGCTCCCTGCTAATGCGCCTGGGAAGGCAGGGGAGGATGGCCCAAGCGGTTAGGTCTCTGCTACCCACCGGGGAGCCCCTGAGGAAGCTTCTGACTTCAGCTTGGCCTGACCCCACTGTTGTATCCATTTGAATAGGCTGGCAGACAGAGAATCTCTCTCCCTCTCTTTCTCCCTTTCAAATCAATATACGTAAGTTGTGGGGGGACAAAAAGAATCTCAAGGCCGCACCCCAATGTGTTGAGTCATCTTTGGGCTGCAGGGGGGTGGGCGGCATTTGCTATCTATACTCTCCAAATTTTCCATCCAAAACATGGATAATTAGAGGTGTGTTTTTTTCTTGATAATTAGGGTTGTTTTTTTTTTTTTTAAATTTTTGACAGGCAGAGTGGACAGTGAGAGAGAGAGAGAGAGAGAGAAAGGTCTTCCTTTTGCCGTTGGTTCACCCTCCAATGGCCGCCGCGCAGCTGGCGCGCTGCGGCCGGCGCACCGCGCTGATCCGAAGGCAGGAGCCACGTGCCTCTCCTGGTCTCCCATGGGGTGCAGGGCCCAAGCACTTGGGCTATCCTCCACTGCACTCCCTGGCCACAGCAGAGAGCTGGCCTGGAAGAGGGGCAACCGGGACAGAATCCGGCGCCCCGACCGGGACTAGAACCCGGTGTGCCGGCACCACAAGGCGGAGGATTAGCCTAGTGAGCCGCGGCGCCAGCTGATAATTAGGTTTTAAAAACTGTTATTTCAGGGGCCAGTGTTGTGGCACACTGGGTTAAGTCACCGCCTGCAACACTGACATCCCACATAGATGCCAGTTTGAGTCTTGGCTGCTCCACTTCTGATCCAGCTCCCTGCCAATGCACCTGGGGAAGCAGCGGAAGATGGCCCAAGTGCTTGGGCCCCTGTACCCATGGGGGAGACCCAGATAGAGTGACAGGCTCCTGCTTCAGCCTGGCCATTTGGGGAGAGAACCAGTAGATGGGAAATCCCTCTCTTATTCTCTTGCTCTCTCTCTAACTCTGCCTTTCAAATAAATAAATCTTTTTTAAAAAGTTACTGTTTCCACATGTAATATTTGAGACAAAGTGTAGAGTTAGTAAAAACACCTGGGTACCTGCTCATTGAAATTTAAGAAATAAAACATGGGGCCGGCGCTGTGGTATAATAGGTTAAGCCTCTGCCTGCGGTGCCGGTATCCCATATGGGTCCCGGCTGCTCCATTTCCAATCCAGCTCCCTATTGATGGCCTGGGAAAGCAGTGAAAGATGGCCCAAGTCCTTGGGCTGCTGCACCTGCATGGGAGACCCAGAAGAAACTCCTGGTTCCTGACTTAGGATCGGCCCAGCTCTGGCTGTTGTGACCATTTGGGGAGTGAGCCAGTGGATGCAAGACCTCTCTCTCTCTCTGTCTTTGTCTGTAACTCTACCTCTCAGATAAATAAATAAAATAAAAAAAAAAACTCACATATTTTAAAAAGCCATTATGGATGAAATAATACGTGGTACATGACAAATACATACAACTCTTATTTTTCAATTAAAAACAAATAAAATATTACAGATCCAAATTTATGCCTTCGACTCCAAACGTCAACTCTTGTCTTAAATGTGGAGCTTCTGTCTTCCAAGCAGCGTTTATGCTTTATACTATTACTGCATGAATACACACACAAGCACATCAATGCCCAAGGTGGTTTTCCATGCCACGTGAGTGGCATGACTGTGTATCCTGCTGCCATTAGCTTCTCTGCTTCTACGTGATGTGTCTGAGGTGGATGTCTGTTGACACAGGAATGCCTGACTCACTTATCTGAATGGCTGCATGGATATCACAACTCATTCAGCCTCTCGTCTGTTGGACACTGCAGTTGGCTCCACATTTTGCCCCTACAAGCAAATGTAAAGGACATTCTGGTGCTTGAAGGAGAACGTCTCCTGCGCCCATTCCCACGGGCAGAGATGCTGAGTGGGGACGTCTTCTAGGAAACACACGCGCGTCTGCGCCGTCACCATCGTTGTCACCACCATCCTCCTAGGACTCGGAAGGCCATTCGCAAGGGAGAGGGGGACACCACCTGGGACTCCATCATGGACACCGGCCCGAGCTGGGATCGGAGTAGAAAGTCCCGCACATCTCAAAGCAGAAACAAGCATCACGTTGCAATGACTCAAGCTCCAAAGCCACTCAGCAGCTGGTTAGCGGTAGGAAGTGTGTGTTTACGAACTCAAGTGGCCTTAACTCACCATTGTGCTGCACGATGAAATCACAGATTTCATGGTCCTGGGAGAGATTCCCAAAAACACGCACCGCCTCCAGGACGCCATCCATGTTCCTACTCCCAAGAAGCTTTAAGAGCACTGGATTTGGTGGGCAGAGAAATCAAATCAGTGACTTTTTGTTTTAACTGAAAGGCGAATGGAAACCAATATCATACTAAACACTGATAAATTCAAATGCTAATAAAATTAAAATGATAAGAAAGTACAAACTGTAAGAGACTTCTGTAAGAACTAAAAAATGAATTCCTCCACCCAACCCATATTTTCATTTCTCCATGTCCATATCAGGCTCTAAGATATTGGTGTCAGAAGTGAGAAAATATGAATGCCTCCAGTTCTGTGCTTGTATGATAAAGATGCAACTTTAAACAAACGCTCACTTATCCAAACCCAAGGGTGAGCCTTACATTCAGCAATATAGAGTTTTTTGTCTCGGATTACGGAATTCTTCACTTGGTAGAAAGATAAGTTGTTGATCGTTGCCGTGGTATTGATCACCAGCTCCTCACAATCCTCAAGTGACTTGTATTCTGAAACAAAAGGAGGATAAGGGAGGGGCAGAACCGGGATACCACCGCAGGAAGCCTCTGTCCCAGTGGGATCTGTGCCAGGCCACTGGAGGAGCGACTCTTCTGCAGCCACGTGCACCAAATGCAAGGGCCCACTCCGGGCCAGGGCAGGCAGGACGCTCTGAGCTTCAGCTCTGCAGCCAGGAGGGCTGGGAAAGCCAGGCTGGGCTAGGCCCTGTGACCAAAGTAAAGCTAGGAATGTGATGCCCCGGTACACTGAGCCATCTCTGATCCCATCAACTCACCCTGCCTCGGGCCCTGGGCTGCACTGGGGAATCTGCACTCCCCACCTCCCAAGAGAAGGATCCCTGGGTCATGGTCCATTCATAACCATCCACTCCACCTTTCTGATGCACAGAATCTGATCCTTTCTCACCTCCTCTATGACCTGCCTGGCCCATCTCTCTACTCCTAATGGCCTCTCTTCTTCCATTTTCACCTCCATAAGCTTATTCTTAACATGGTGATGCTTTAAGCGGAAGTCAGGTAAAGTCACTCATCTCTCACGGCCTACCAATGGCCCTACCTCGCTTGGCCCACAGGCCCTGGCTGGACTGCCCCCGCCCCTGCCTCCCTGGCCTCCCTGGCTACTCCAGCCTCCAGGCCCCTGTGCCAACTGCACCAGTCTCCTTGCTTTTTGGAGTGCACTGGCAGGACCCTGCCTGGAAACCTCTGCAGTGCCACCCCAGGTATTCTTCTTCCGGGCATCCACCCGGCTCACTCCTCACGTGCTTCAAGCGCTGCCTATAGAGCACATATCTTCCTCAGCCACCCTAGGTAAAACTACACCTGTTACTCTTTCCCCTCACCGGCTGGCACTAAGTGCGGACTCAGTGAATGGTTGCTGAGGGTGAGGATGGACAAAGGAATGGGCGAACGTTTTCCCTTGGCACAAAAGGCGCTTAGCGATCATGTGCCTGCCTCCCACCCAATCAGACTTGCTTCTCGATGGCTCTGGCCACAGCCCAGAGAGAGGCAGGTGCAGGGATGCCAGCTGGAGCCTACCGCAGTGTGCCACGTGTCGACGCGGCACGGGCGTGGCAGACAACACAGATGGAGCCGAGGGACAGGCTGCAGTCGGGGTGTGCAGGAGAGGACTCACCCTGATGTCCCTGGTTTGGGGCTGATGTAATTACCTGGAGGGCAACCGCATTCTCTGAACTAAGGGCTCTGGAAGAGGGCCGAGCTAGGGGGAGTCACAGGTCAGCTTAGAGACCCGGAGGTGCCTCTGAGGCAGCCCTGGGAGAGGAGGGGCAGGCAGTGGGTGCAAGGGCCTGGCCATCAGAGGAAGAGTCCGAGCCTGGGAACCAAACCCATCACAGCAACTCAAATGAGCTCTGCCTCTCACCTCCCCCACTGCACGGGTCTGCCTGAGGCTTGGGGCCCTCGCTGCCCCCTGCACCTGCCCATCACCTGGCCTGGGAAGCTGCACCCAAGCCTGGGAGGGAGGCCGCCTGGGTGCCTGTGCACATCTGCAGCTGTGCCTCACCCACTGCATCTCGTTGGACAGGGAGTGCCTCTTACTTCCAGTGTGAAAGCAGAGTTCCTCAGGGAACAAGAGAGGACTTGGGGCTGAGGGAGAGGACTGTGCTGGCCCGTTGGCTGCCTCTTCCTCTTCATTGAAGAGACAGTCTCCTTACGAGGCTAGTGGGCTCTGTCATTTGTCATGCTGCGGGAGACGTGTCCTGGTTCTTCAGCCTGCTTATGCGGAGGGCATGAAGAACTGAGCTTATGTTGGATTTCAGAATGCATTCCCCAGCAAGGACATATCCTGGTGGTCTGAGGCATCTAGGGGAGACCTACGAAAGGATCTCTGTTGGTTCTGAGGGACAGAATGTTTAAAAAAGGATGCAGGATGCCGGCGCTGCGGCTCACTAGGCTAATCCTCCGCCTTGTGGCGCTGGCACCCTGGGTTCTAGTCCCGGTCGGGGTGCCGGATTCTGTCCCAGTTGCCCCTCTTCCAGGCCAGCTCTCTGCTATAGCCCGGGAGTGCAATGGAGGATGGCCCAAGTGCTTGGGCCCTGCACCCCATGGGAGACCAGGATAAGTACCTGGCTCCTGCCATCGGATCAGCGCGGTGCGCCCGCCGCAGCGTGCCAGCCGCGGCGGCCACTGGAGGGTGAACCAACGGCAAAGGAAGAGCTTTCTCTCTGTCTCTCTCTCTCACTGTCCACTCTGCCTGTCAAAAAAAAAAAAAAAAAAAAAAAAAAAAAGGATGCAGGACATCTCCCCCACCCCCTACAAAAAGTGTTCCTGCTTGCTTTGGCCAGAAGCCTGCTGCTTTCCATGACTCCAGCTGCAGCACCTCCCTGGGCCCCACCTCCCCTGGCTGACACGTGGGTGGGAGAACTGCTGGGGAGCTGAAAGGTGTTCTTTGTAAGGGGCTACAAAGGGGCTGTGGCACACAGTGGACACTCAGTAAATGTCGGGTGCCCCGGAATGACAATTCTGGGCCAGTGGCTCGTGTGCACCTTGCAAGTCTGGTCTACTGCCCACACGCCCATCCCGATGATGCTCGATCTTGGGTGTGTCTGGGGACCTGTTTCTCCTCTTGCCTTGGTAAGGGGATTCGTTAGTTCACCCAGGTGATGAGGGAGCCTCTGAGGTGTCCCCAGAGGCAGGGGCGCAGATTCGGGTGGTAGGCATGCCATGGCATGACATCTGATGTCTGGGGCCAGAAGGTAAGCACTCCTGGCTACTAAGCAGCCAGCACACACAGCAGCAGCAAGCACTTGGCCTGCATCTGACCCCCACAACTTTATAATGAATACTGCTTTAAGTGCACCTGCAAGCATTTAAACCCCTAGTAATTAATTCTCTGAGGGCACCTGTCTCAGTCATCGCGAAGTACCGCATCAAAATGCCACCAACCAGGTGGCCTGAACCAACCGAAACTTCTTCTCTCATGCTCTGGAGGCTGATGTCCAAGATCAGGGTGCCAGCACAGCAGGTTCTGGTGAGGGCTCGCCTTCCAGCTCACAGAAAGTCGCTTCTTCCTCACACAGCACAGAGAGATGGAGAACTCCGCTGTATGGCATAAGTACATGAATCCCATGCCTGGGAGCCTACCCCACAGCCTTATCCACACCTATCTTCCAAGGGCCAAATCCTTTTCTAAAAAGATTCATTTATTTATTTATTTGAGGGGCAGATTTAAAGACAGAGAGATGGAGAGACAGAGAGATCTTCCATCTGTTGGTTCACTCCCCAAATGACCACAACAGCCAGAGCTAGGCTGATCTGAAACCAAGAGCCAGGAGTTTCTTCCAGGTCTCCCATGTGGATGCAGGGGCCCAAAGACTTGGGTCATCTTCTACTGCTTCCCCAGGCCATTAGCAGGGAGCTGGATTGGAAGTGGAACAGCTGGGACTCAAACCAGCACCCATATGGGATGCCACAGCACTGCTCCTCCAAATACCTTTCTATCTAATCATATTGTGAGTTAGAATGTCAACAAATAAGTTTATAGATAGAAATATAATTTCTTTTTTCAAAGATAATATATTTATTTGAAAGAGTTGAGTTACACTGAGAGAGCAGGAGGGAGAGAGAGAGAGAGAGAGAATGATCTTCTATGTGCTGGTTCACTCCCCAAATGCCCACGACAGCTGGGACTGGGACTGGGGCTGGGCAGGCCGAAGCCAGGAGCCAGAAACTCCATCCTGGTCTCTCAAATGGGTGACAGGGGCCCAAGTACTTGGGCCATCCTCTGCTGCTTTCCTAGGTGCACTAGCAAGGAGCTGGATCAGAAGAGGAGCAACAGGGACTCAAGCCAGCACTCCTATGGGGCACTGGGGTTGTAGGTGGTGTCTTAACCTGCTGTGCCATGATGCTGGCCCCTAGAGATAAAATTGCCAAGCTCATAAAATGTGTAAGACGAGGAATTCCTGAATTTTATACATGAATATCACCAACTGTGGGGTGATGAGGCATGCATCGACACTACTTTACTTGGCTGCTCAGGATCACGTGCCCTGATCCAGTATTGAGCTCTGGTGTTCAAGTCCCGCCTGGTAGCTGTAGCCACGTAAGGCACTGAGCCTGCAGGAGATGAGAACTCGCCCAGTGGGTTTCAGCTTCCGACCACTCCTCAGGAGCCAGAGAGGCTGGGAGCTGCCCCCTGAAGCACTAGGGCCTGGCATGTCAAGGACAGTGGACTCACCAGGGGCAGGCCGTAAGATTCTAATCGCAAAGGCATCTTACTGTGTGCCGTGGATAGTCTGAAGCAGCCCTGGGCCCTCTCTGCAGGCAGGTGGAGAAGCGCTGCCCGAAGTTGCATCAGCAGATAGGGAAGTGTTACAACCGAAAGCTGAGACATTGGAGGGGGTTCCAGAGATGGCATTTCTGCAAGAGCCAGACGCACCTTCCCACGGATGGTTTCACGTGCAGCCAGCCGCTTGGGAGAGGGTTCAAGGCCACACACGTAGATTTTCAAGCTATTATAAGTGGGTAAGTCATGGGGGCAGATCTCCATGTGAGAATCTTTTGTTGGGACAGGTGACATGTTGGACAGAGGACACAGACTTGGGACTGGGTGACTCTAACATTTACCAACTTTGTTACCTGTGAGGTCACTATATGCCATCTATAAAATGATGAAACGGCAAAACCCTACCCTCACACTGTTCTGTGAGACCAGACACCAAAGTGCTTTCCAAACCCTAATGCCCCGTGGGGAGTAGGGCATTGTCACCCACACATCACACCACCACAGCTGGGCTCTGCGCCTCCAGGCTCTCGCCTCATGCCCCGGTGCACCTTGCTTCTGGCACCTTTTTGTGATCTGTATGGTTCCTGTCTGTGCACCTGACTTTGCTGCGCTGTAGACACTGTGTTCCTTGAAGCAGACAGCAGCCCACATTTCTACAACCTTGTAGTGGGCTGACCAATTCCTATGTGAAAGCCCCAACCCGAACTCCGGCTGTGGCTTTATTTGGAAATACGTCCCGTGAGGAGGTGACAAAGCTTAAATGAGGTCATAAGAATGGGGACCCGATCCCACCGAGCTGGTGTCCTTACAAGAAAAGGAAGGGGCCGGTGCTGTGGTGTAGAGGGTTAAAGCTGCAGCCTGCAGCGCTGGCATCCCTTATGGATGCCGGTTCTAGTCCTGGCTGTTCCACTTCCGATCCAGCTCTCTGCTATGGCCTGGGAAGGCAGTAGAAGATGCCCCAAGTCCTTGGGCCCCTGCACCCGTGTGGGAGACCCAGAAGAAGCTCCTGGCTACTGGCTGTAGGTCAGCTCAGCTCTGGCTGTTGTGGTCATTTGGGGAGTGAACCAGCGGATGGAAGACCTCTGACTCTCTCTCTCTCTCTCTCTCTCTCTCTGCCTCTACCTCTCTCTGTAACTCTGTCTTTCAAATAAATAAAATCTTAAAAAAAAAAAAAAAAAAAAAGAACGTCTGGCCTTGTGGCGCAGTGGGTAAAGCCACCACCTGCAATGTCAGTCAGTTCACGTCCTGGCTGTTCCAGTTCTGACCCAGCTCCTTGCTAATGCACCTGGGAAAAGCAGAGGAGGATGGCCCAAGTGCTTTGGTCCCTGCCACCCACATGGAAGACCCAGATAAAGCTCCTGGCTCCTGGCTTCTGCCTTGCCCAGCCCTGGCCATTGTGGTCATCTAGGGAGTGAACCAGCAGAATGGAAGATCTTTCTCTCTTATTCTACCTGTAACTCTGACTTTCAAATAAATAAATAAATATTAAAAAAAAAAAAAAAAAGGAAGGAAGGAAGACAAGGAGGAGCCACTAAGGTGTCCTCTCCTCACCAGGTGACCGGGTGAGGGCTCAGTGAGAAGGCAGCGGTCTGTAGGCCAGGAAGAGAGGAGCCCTCAGCAGTGCCCCTGCTGGCACCCTGACCTTGGACTCGCAGTCTGGAGAACCTCGGGAGAACACGTTTCTGCTGCCTGAGTACCTGGGGTGCGGTGTTTGCGAGGGGAGCCTGAGCAGACTCAGACCTGCGGCACACCCAGAGGGCCAACCCCGCAGTGAGGACCCAACACAGGGCTCCGCGGTTGACTAGCGGCCAGGGGAAGCTCACATCATTCTTGTTGGCAATACACTTGAACAACGGAATCTTAACCGTGTCTAGTTAGTTCTGCGCCAAGTGACGGCCCGGATGGCGGTGAGTCTGCCCACATGGCTGCGTGAAGGGGGAACGGGGTACGATGGGCTGCATGGGTGTCCCCTCACGCCCCTGCGCTGACGCCTCACCCACAGTATGTCTGTGTGCGGACCTGGGGCTTTTCGGAGCTGTGTGAGGTTCAGGGAGGCCCCCAGGTAGGGGGTCCCAGTCGGACCGGATGAGGGGGAGAGAGAGACACCTAGCGGCCACCCTGCGCTCTCATCTCGGAAAGGCTGGGCGAGCACACAGCCAGTCCGCAGCCATCCCCATGCCAGGAGGAGCCTTCGTCAGGGAACGGACTGGACTGCCTGGCACCTGCACCTCCCCAGCTTCCACAGCTCACAGGTGTGAGAACTCTACCTCTGTCGTGTCAGTCGCCCAACCTATCGTGTTTTGCTGGCGCTGCCAATAACGGGGTGGGGGGGGGCCTGGATGACTGGGGACAAAATCACGGATATTCTAGGAAGCTGAAGATGAACGCTGAGAATAGCTTTAGCCAGGGGGATTGTCCCAGGGAAGATATGGCATTTTAAACTCTCTGTGATTAGCCTGACCGATTTTTGCCCATTAGGTGGGTAGAACGGTTCTAAGATGTGATATAATTTACTAACCGCAAAATTCACTGGGTTTTAGTAATGCAAGACCTTACTGTGTTTTCCTTAAAAAAAAAATCGGGATGATGTTCAAGGCCATCTGAACAGAAGCACAGCTTCGGCACTGGGGCCCCGGGGGCCGCGGTGGGGGCTCTCACCCAGCGTGCTCAGGAGCAGGCTCACGAGGCGCGGGTCGGCGGCCAGCGCAGGGCCCACGCGAGGGTGGATGGCCAGGTTGGCCAGCACGCGGGTCAGCTTGACGAGCACGGCCTCGGCCTCAGATGGCGGCCTGGGCACAGCGGCGCCTTGCGCCCGCGCCGGGGAGGCCCGCACATCGAGGTGGTGGAAGGCGCGGAAGAGCGCCAGCAGGCTTTGCACGCTCCCGCGCTCCCGGCACAGCTGCTCGCGGGCCTGGTTGCTCTTGGCTGTCAGGTTGCCCAGGATGAACACGACGCGGACAACGACATCCTGCAGAGGACAAAGACAAGGTTATGAGGGCTAGGGCGCCCGCGGGGGGCAGGTGCTGGGAGGAAGGTGGTCGCGTCTGAGTCATTCACCCCAGAACAGGCAGCATTTGAAAGGGGACACAGGGACTGAGGCCATAGGCAAGGTCTAGACCACAGAGCCTGGCTCTGAAACTCTGGCCGCCACCCCTGCCATTTTCTTCAGAGAACAATTAGCCGAGTGGGATGGCGTTTCTGAGGCTGTCTCCCGTCCACCTGTAGGGACACTCACAGCTTGCTTTCTCTTTAAAGATTTAAAGAGACAGAGGTCCTCCATCTGCTGGTTCCCTCCCCAAGTGGCTGCAACTGCCAGGGCTGGGCTAGGAGAAAGCCAGGAGCCAGGAGCTTCTTCCAGGTCTCCCACGTTGGTAGTAGGGTCCTAAGCACTTGGGCCATCTTCCACTACTTTCCCGGGTGCCTTGCCAGGGAGCCGGAGAGGAAGCGGAGCAGCCGGGACTCGGGCTGGTGCTCACATTGGATGCTCACCTCTCAGAGATTTCTGGAGCATCCAAAAATCTTTACCTAAAAATTCACCTCCAATGAAAGCAGTGCTTCTACCAAGGAGTCCTCTCTGAGCAGCTGAATGTTTTGCATAGTTGATATTTTGGACCAGGCAAGTCTTAGCTGCGGGAGCCTCCTGGGCACCGTGGGTGTCACTGTGGGCCGTGCACAGCACCCCTCGATTCTCCCCATCGGCTGCCTGCTGTACCTGTTCCAGGTGTGACAACCAACAATGTCTACCCTGTGCTGGGGACATGTCTCCAGTGGAGAGCCCCGACGCAGGGGCTTCAAAATGGTCATGGAAAATGCACATTATGCAAATACCAGGCATCTGTTTCAAATTTTGCAGCAAAACAAACTCATCTTCTAATTCTACTTTCCCAGGAATGTTTTGAAAATCCTCCTGTGTTACACACACAGAACACTTTAAACAGTCCCTGCCACTTCTGCAGAGTGGTGGCCTCGAGGGACACTTTTAAAGCTATTTGTTAGGTTGTAGATATGTGCTTGATACACTTTTCTCTATGCAAGATATATTATCCAATTAAATAAGCTTTTTTTTTAAATAAAACAAGATACAAATATAATTAGGTTCCTAATTTGACAATAATACATAAACATGTGAGTTAAGATCAGCTTCATGCTTCCCTTATGGGTGCTGAGGTCATGGGAAGAGGAGCCTTTTTTTATATTATATATAAGATTTATTTATTTGAAAATCAGAGCTTGAGAGAGAGAGAGAGAGAGAATTTCCATCTGCTGGTTCACTCCCCAAATGGCTGCAATGGACAGGGCTGGGCCAGGCCAAAGCCAGGAACCAGGAACTTCATCCAGGTCTCCCATGTGAGCGCAGGGGCCCAAACACTTGGATCATGTCCTACTGCTTTCTCAGGTGCATTAGGGGGAGTTGGATTGGCAGTGGAGCAGCTGGGACATGAACTAGTGCCCATACGGGATGCCAGCATCACAAGCAGCAGGTTTACCCACTATGCCACAACACTAAAGAACTGCAACTGGCCTAGGGGCTCATATTAACTAGCAAGAAACAAGGGTTGGGGAATGGTGTTTGCAAAGCCGTTAACAGGTGCTTGGGACACCTGTGCTTCATATTGGAGTGCCTGGGTTCAAGTCCAGGCTCTGCTCCTGATTCCAGCTTCCTGCTCATGCACACCCTGGGAGGCAGCAGGCCATGGCTCAAGTACATGGGTCCTTGCTACCCATGTGGGTGACCTGGACTGAGTTCCTGGACCCTTGCTTTGGCCTGGTCTAACCCTTGGTGTTGCAGGGGTTTGGGAAGTAAATGGGAGATCTCCCTCTCTCAGGAGGGAAAAGAAGTTGGGGGAAAGGAGGGGAGTAGAGAGGAAGAAGGGCCGGCGCCGCGGCTCACTAGGCTAATCCTCCGCCTAGCGGCGCCGGCACACCGGGTTCTAGTCGGGGCGCCGGATTCTGTTCCGGTTGCCCCTCTTCCAGGCCAGCTCTCTGCTGTGGCCAGGGAGTGCAGTGGAGGATGGCCCAGGTGCTTGGGCCCTGCACCCCATGGGAGACCAGGAAAAGCACCTGGATCCTGGCTCCTGCCACCGGATCAGCGCGGTGCGCCGGCCGCAGTGCGCCGACCGCGGCGGCCATTGGAGGGTGAACCAACAGCAAAGGAAGACCTTTCTCTCTGTCTCTCTCTCTCACTGTCTACTCTGCCTGTCCGGAAAAAGAAAAAAAGGATAAAAAAAAAAAAAAGAGAGGAAGAAGGAAAGAAAAGAAGAAAGAGGAAAGAGAAACTGGAGCTTGGAGAAGCTGCCAGAAGCTGATGAGGGCGTGGCCAGGATGTGAACCCAGGATTAAGCTGACTCCAGAGTCCTTTCTAGTCCACACCATCTCCCACAGCAGGGCGTCACTTACTTTATCTTCCTGCCTCCTTGCAGAACAGTTAAGAAATTATCTCCTTTTAAAATGCAAATATGCAGAAGGGATTACCATAAACCTGACTGAGTTCATCAGATTAGTAAGGGTATGGAAAGATCAGCAGCCAGAAAAATGAAAGGGAGGGAAAGGGCGGGGCACACTTTCTTCAAGGAGTACAGGCCCAGGGGGATCCCAGGAGCCGGGACAGGGTAGAGGCTGTGGCAGGGAGACAGTGAGGACCAAGAACAAAGGACAACTTTCAGACTTGCCCAGGACAGCTCTGCCAATGCCAACCTGTTCCTGCTTATCTGTGTGCACACAAAAACATTTTCCCTGACACTCACTGGCAAAGAAGCAAGGCTGCGGCCTGCAGCGCTGGGAACCACTGGTCAACACTGAGAACGGACGGAGCCTAACACTGCCGCAAGCTCTGGAGCCGGACCATCAGAATTTGTTTTTGGAAACATTCCCGCTCACCAGTGTTCACCTAATCCCAGCAGTTGTCCGGTTAGGAGAACCTGCCCCTGGCTGCACCCTGGGGACTAGAATATTCATCCAGAGACCATTTTTGAGTGCTTGGTGGGTTGCAGAAGCAACACACATAAATAGCATGAGATACAGTGCTCTGAAGAGTTCATAATCCAACTGAAGACTGGATAAAGAAGTTATGGGATATGTATTCTGCAACACTATACAGCAGTAAAAAAGAAAAGAAAAGAAACCCAGTCATTTGCAACAAAATGGATGCATCCAGAAAATACTATAATTAGTGAAATAAGCCAGTCCCAAGGGGACAATACCATATGTTCTCCCTGATCTGTGATAACTAACAGAGCACCTAAAAGGCAATCTGTAGAAGTGAAATTGACACTTTGAGAAGCAATAATTTGAACAGCCCTTGTTAGTAAAATGATATGGTCTTATCTGTGGCACCATCTTAGGCTCTGGCCCTGTCGCCATTTTGTACAATAAGCATTCTTTTTTTTTTTTTTTTTTTTGACAGGAAGACTGGACAGTGAGAGAGAGAGACAGAGGAAGGTCTTCCTTCCGTTGGTTCACCCTCCAATGGCCGCCGCAGCTGGCGCACTGCGCTGATCCGAAGCCAGGAGCCATGTGCTTCTCCTGGTCTCCCATGGGGTGCAGGGCCCAAGGACTTGGGCCATCCTCCACTGCACTCCTGGGCCACATCAGAGAGCTGGACTGGAAGAGGAGCAACTGGGACAGAATCCGGCGCCCCGACTGGGACTAGAACCCATTGTGCCAGCCCAATAAGCATTCTACACCCAGCCTGGCTTACCAGAAGTCAGGTGACGAAACAGCCCAATCACAAGCGTCAGCTCCACCCCACCCTATCGGGACTTGCCACTCCCTCTTCCTTCCCTCTGCAAAGCTATAGAAGCCCTGTTCTCCCAGCACATACTGCTGTGCTCTCTGTGCACGGGGAGGCAGCCTGTGGGGTTTCCCCCACCTGACAACAAACCTTTTCCCTTACTCCGGTGTTTGGTGTGTTTTGTAGCAGCCTTACAGCCCTTGTCTTGACTACTGAGGAACAGTTTGTTTTTTCTTAATGGAGATGGGACTGGGAATAGGAGAGGGAGGAGAAGGTGGGATGGGAGTGGGGGTGGGGGTGGGAGGGCAGGTATGGTGGGAAGAATCGCTATATTCCTAAGACTTTAGGAATATAAATTCTTATGAAATTTGTACTTATTAAATAAATGGTTTCTTTGGGAAAAATAAAAAGATTCATAATCCATGTGAGAAGGCAGGGCCAGCGAGTGTAGGGGACACAGCAGGTTCAGGTGGCTCAGCCAGAAGGGAGACACGCAAGACACACGAGTCCCGGCTCGAGAGCAGGCGGTCTGGGTTCGCACGGGTGACGTGACGTAGCCCCTGTGCCTCTGTAACCTCGTCTGCAGAATGGGGAAAACACTGCTCGTGAGAGCAGGGGAGATCAAACGGCTACAGCACCATCCCGGCGCTGCTCACGGCCTCGCCAGTGCATCACCAGTAGGGTGCGGATGGCGCTGCAGTCGGCAGGAACGAGGGTGCTCAGGGAACAGTGAGGGGGCAGCAGAGTGATGTGGAACGTGTCTGCGCTCAACCTGGACAAGGCTATGAACTTCTGGTAGCCATGGCGGGGAGGTGGGGAGAGACAAGCACACAGGGCCGGCGCTGTGGCGCAGTGAGCTGCCACCGGTGACACCACATCCCATAACTGCTCCAAGTCCTTGCCGCTCTGCTTCCGAGCCAGCTCCCTGCTGACGTGCCTGGGGAGGCAGCAGAAGGTGGCCCAAGTGCTTGGGCTCCTGCCATCCATGTGGGAGACTCGACTGAAGCTCCTGGTTCCTGGCTTTGGCCTGGACAAAGCCCGCTCTGGCCATTGCAGCCATCTGGGGAATGAGCCAATGGATGGAAGATTCTCTCTCTCCTCTCTCCCTGTCTCTATCACTCTTTTCAAATAAATAAGTAAATAAACTAAGATCTTTAAATAAATGAAATAAGCACACAATTTGATTGTGACACTTGAATCCCACTTCACACTGAGCCAGTGGTTCCTGCAGCTAATCC